AGACCAGCAGTCCCCAACCTTTTAGGCACCAGGGACTGGCTTCATGGAAGACAATCCTTCCATGGGGGTGGGAGACGAGGCGTGGGGAACGGGACAGGGGTCAGGGGGCTGGTCGACCCCAGCGCATCACATTCACGTGCAGTAGTCAAACCTCTCTGCCAATGACACTCTGCACTTGCAGCCGCTCCCCAGTGCCAGCACCACCTCCCCAGCTCCACCCCAGATCATTAGGCACCAGACCCTCACAAGGAGACACAACCTAGATCTCTCCTGTGCTCAGTCTATAGTAGAGTTCGTGCTCCTGTGAGAATCTAATGCCTGAGGCTGGTCTGTCAGGAGGCAGAGCTCAGGCAGTGGTGGGGAAGCCGTGGCAAACACAGATGGAGCCTCGCTGACCTGCCTGCCGCCCACCTCCTGCCACGCGGCTGGACCCCCAGCAGGGCACAGACCTACACTGGTCCGCGGGCCGGGCTTGGGGACTGCACCCTTAGACCATACATTCTCCCTTATACTGTCTTCTCAGACTAAACCTCCAGTCTTCTGTTGGGCTGTGAGGTGGGCAGGTGCCCAGCTGTGTACGTGCACGGGATCAAGAACTTGAGATTCCAACCATTCCTTAACAGAATGTGAACCTGCTTTTGGATTTTTTAGGGGGAGTAGGTTTGGTGCCTCCTCAGTCCCCACTTCTAGGGGTGACCAGAGCAACCAGTTTCCGAGCCTTTGAGGAATTCTGAAGCATAAATTGGGATGAATCCTGGATTTTTCTGTTTGCTAGCTCAGGATTCAGCTCTCATCTGTCATCTTTTCAGCTTTAAAACTTTGATGCTGTTTTCTCCTCTCCCGATCTCTTTATTTTTATATTATATATCTTTTTAAAATGTTCTCCCTGTCATTTTAGTGGGGTTGGAAGAGGAAGTAAAAGTTAAATGCACGTGTTTAATCTGCCATCCTTTTTTTTTTTTTTTTTTTAAGATACAGTGCCTCGCTCTGTCACCCAGACTGGAGAATTGAATTCTCCAGTGGTGTAGTCACAGCTCACTGCAGCCTCCATTTCCCGAGCTCAAGCTATACTCCTGGCTCAGCCTCCCAAGTAGCTAGGCCTACAGGCATGTGCCACCACACCTGGCTAGTTTTTTAAATTTATTTTTTGTTTTTCATAGAGATGAGGTCTTGCTATGTTGCCCAGGTTAGTCTCGAACTCTTGACCTCAAGCAATCCTCCCAAGTTAGCCTCCCAAAATGCTGGGATTACAAGCATGAGCCACCGTGCCCAGCCAGCATCTTTTAAAACATTTACAATAATAAAGAACCTATGTTGTCATTATTCTGTTTAGTGAAATTTTGCCTGTGTGGAATATGAGAACATAATGAGAAGGCCCTTTACACGGCAGTTGATTGTTCCAGAAAGAGGGAGCACGTCCTGGCTCATCTGGCCAACAAGGCCATAGAGCCTTAGCCGCCTGGCTTTATTTAGTCAGGGCTGTACCTTATTGGGCTTATGGTGTGTTTCTGAGATCATCTTTGACCTTTGAGTTTATTAGTAACTCTGTAGATTTATTTCTTCCCTTACTATTGGATTGGAAGAATTCTTGAAACAGGGTGACCTCATGTCTCAGGGTGCTTAACCTCAGATTTTATGATTTGGGGTTTCATTCCTCTGTTGACGCAGCTGTCTTTCAGCACTATTTGTGTGTCAGTCATACCAAATTTTGCTGTTTTAGCTTCTGCCTTTTGCATGAAACAGTTGACTTTTTCTGAGCTGTTATTGTTCAATGTGATTAGTCTCAGATGCTGAGAGGGGCATATGTCAGTTTTGTCTTTTGGGTCTGATGGCTCAACGTTAATTGCAGAGTAACTTACTGTTATGGACTGGGCATTTGTGTCCCCCCCAAATTCATATGTTGAGGTCCTGTCCCCCAGTGTGGTTGTATCTGGAGATGGGGTATCTAAGGAAGTATTTAAATTTAAATGAGGGCATCAGGGTGGGGCTCTGATCTGATAGGGTTAGTGTTTTTATAAGCAGAGACATCAGAGCGCTCACCCACTAGCTAACTTCCCACGTGCACACCAACAAAAGGCCATGCGGGACATAGCAAGAAGCCAACCATCTGCAAGCCAGGAAAAGAGCCCTCACCAAAAACTGAATTGGCCAGAACCCTGATCTTGGAATTTTAGACTCCAGAACTGTGAGAAAATAAATTGCTATTGTCTAAGGCACTCAGTCTGTGGTATTTCGTTATGGCAGCTGAGCTAATACTCCTGCTTTCTGCCGTATCTACATCTTTGGTCTTCCAGCTCATTTTCTTAGACATTAGGAATCAGAATGGTCGGTTGTCAGACTTCAGCTTATACTTGCAATTTCTGTGCATCTACTTTCTTCTGTTTTGAACCAGAGTAGAGGTTTTAGAGTCAGAAGAGATCAGGTCTTCTAGTGTAGAAGTTTTCTATTGGCATTAGGAGTTAGGAGATCAAGTTGATGGGTTGCAGCTAGCAATGTGCTTAAATGAAATGCATTGCATATAGTTTTGTGAAGTTATGTTTCAGTGTTTCCAGCACACATGTGTGTGTGTGTTGTGTGTGTACTAGATTGAGATATAAAATGTATTTCTTACTGTAGGTTGTGGTTAAAAAAAAAAAAAAATTAAGTCTGGTCCACACTAATCCTTTAGTCCCTCTTAGAATATCCATGACAAATCATTACTGGTAGAGTTCGAGGGAGAAGGAAGATCAGGATTATGGACCAGAGGGGTCAAACTTCAGACTTCGAGATCTAAACCCCAAAAAGGGGGAAAAATAGGGAAGAAGAGAATATAGTCACCTCTTTCTCTCAGCAAGCAAAGCAGGGAGCCCCAAGAAGACCATCCTACAGGGCCACGCTTGGGGGTGGTGATTTGTCACATCTTTCTCTGTACCCCCGAGGTGTATAACCTCACTTGCTGTACATACCATGTTGTATTATAATTATTTGTTTAATGTCTGTGACTGGGCCAAGTTCATAGTTGGTACTCCATAAATGTTGATCGGAGGAAGGAATAAATGCCATCAGTATTGGCCTCATTTTAATGACATACATGTTAATGCCATGTCTGTCCCTGCGCTAGTTAGGAAGTCACCCCTGCCCTGTCAAGTGTATCATGCCATCTGTCATGAACGCACTGTGAAGCAGTCCGTTCTAGTCCGAGGAGCCAGTAGCAGCAAATTCTCATCATGTCTCAAGATGTCAGCAGAACAGGTGGAATTTTGATTCATCATATGGTCTTGTAGCTTTGTTAAGTGGTAGGAAAGAAGGGGCTAGGCCCTTGCATGTCCTAAGAGACAGCGCAAGTTGTTAAGTCCGATCTGTTCAGAAAGACGGCAGTCTAGTGGGGGGTGGAGTGAGGGGTACCTGCAGAGGCCATCACAGTGTGCTGCTGTTGGGCACGTTCAGGTGCATCGAGTCATGTGGAGGGGAACTGTCACAGTCTAAAGGGATTCGGGAAGACTTCGCAGAGCAAAGGACACAGGAGGAGACCTGCCTAAGGCATAAGCTGTTGTTTGTTAGACAGGGAGCAGCATGGGAGTCACATGAGCGGGGGACAGCTCAGGAGAGTCCAACGCAGATTCCACACTTAGAGTTTCTGTTCTAGATAAGGGGAGTCTCTGCTGCTGCAGGCGTAATCTCAGGCAGTCTGTAGAAGTCAGATTAGTCAGTTGAAAGACTGTGGCCGAGTCTCTGAGTGAGGGCCTGCATTAGGGCTGCGCGGGCCGCTGGTGGCAGAAGTGCAGCTCAGGAAGCACCAGCAGGGTCCAGCCATCTTTTGGATGCAAGGGGCCAGGGAAAGGGAGGTCACCTTTGACTCTGCAATTTTGAGGTTCGACACCTGGGAATGACAGTGATTTCTTCCACAGTAATAGGGAATAATTCAGGGACAGTCAATCTTGGCAGGGAAGATAGAAAGAAAGAAATTTTATATCATGGGTTGTAGAGTTCATAGAGCCCTTGAGGCACCATTTCAAAGAATGGTCTAATTAGAAGAAAACTCATAATTCATAGATAGACTAATAAACTTTTCCATTTATGTGGCATTTTCCCCCCTGGAGACCTCTTAGCTGTTGGGTAAAAAATCAGACATCATTTAAATTCAGCACATTATAATATTCTAAATCCAGGAGCCTGCGTATTTTCAACATTTTTTTCAGCTAGAACAGGAAATTGTTATTTAACTTGGTTCATAGAGATAATCAGGGTTTTTTTTTAAACACAGCGGCATGACAGAAATACTTGTCTGTTTGTAAGTCAACTGTCAACGTATTAGTTAATACGTTACGCAAACACATGCCAAACAGATGCTGTAAAGGCCTTCTCAGTTCAATTACCGTTTCCTTTAGAGCATCCTCAGCTTCCCTTCTGTTTTCTTCATTCCAGGTCATTATTCCACAGTGACTCTTGAGAAGCAATTTTCTTAACAGAGTACAAACTGGATTATTCTCTTTTATTGAATTGAAATTCTTAATGAGGCTTTCCACTAATGAGATATTGTATCCATGTTAGGCTAAAAAGGTTAGTTTGAGTCATTTAGTTAGCAGTTCAGAATTAGAAGTCATTGATTAAATCCTGACTAATAACTCAAGCAAAGTTTAGTAATGAAAGGGATTCCACCAGGTGCTGCTAACATAACCATAAAAATTCGTAACAGATAAAAAGCATCAACAGCAGGAGTTAGAATTAGCCTGACCATTAACACACGGTCACATCAGAACACCTAGCCCTCTGTCAGTGGTGTTGTGCAAAATGAACTTGACTGGTCTCCCAGGTTCAGCAGGGCGGCAGTCCCAAGGGCAAATGAGCTCCCGTTGACTGTGGTACATATGGCTTTGACAGGAAACCATATCTGGAACATGAAAGAGTTTTCTGTAACATGATAGGGCTAATCTGTGATTTTTTTTTTTTAATAATTGTTTTATATTATTTTTTTCTATGGATGTTTTTGCCTCTGATTTGACAGCTTCTTTTCTTTCCAGTTTAAGATTGATGGAGAATGGTGGACGTGGATTGATTACAACCGCTTCCAGGAGCTCGTCCAGGAGTACGAAGATAGCGGTGGATCAAAAACTTTTAGCGCAAAGGAGTACATGGCCAAAACTCCTCACTGGGCCTTATTTGGTGCCCATGAAAGAGGCTTTGATCCCAAGGACACAAGATATCAGAGAAAGAACAGATCAAAGGATATTTCTGGATGTTGAGATTATCTGTCTTCAGGATACTAAAGGACAAAAACCGGATGGCCTCAGAAGGTTCTTGGACTCTGCTGCAGTTCTTCCAAGGACAAATTATACAAATTATATTTTATATAAAGGAGACTGTAAGGCAAACACGGGGACACAGAGACGACATCCACACTCGGCATGCTTGGGACACAGCCCCAACACTTCATTACAGAGCTCAGTCCCTCTCCTGCTCTTCCTTCTGAGAGGAGAATGGTTTTTGTGGGGGAAGTAAAACGATCGTTATGAGAATATGACTGATGATTTTTGTATTGCAATTAGTAAGGGTTGCTAGAATGCTGTTCATGAGAATGTCATACAAGGACTAGACACCCAGGCCTCGTGGCCTTTCTGGGCCCTTGGCTTTCGATGGAGTAGCCACCTAGCATTGAATTGTACTGCCCTGAGCTCAGTGTGTCTGCTCCCACTAAGATTAAGAACTTGATCCCTTTCTTATATCTTAAGATAACCTCCTGAAAATAAGTTGTCACAATTCTCAATTATTTTTAAATACTACATTAGGTTACTTTAGATTTTTGGTTATTACCAACCTTTTATGAAATCACGTTGGATCTATTTAATAAAACCGCACTAGATCTTGCCCCATTCCCATACAGATTACCCCGGAAGTTGACGTGTGGGCTGGATCAGAGTGAACGCTCTGTTCCGTGAGAGGAATGGCTGCGTGATGGCAGTGAGTTAGTCTCACAAACACACTTTGGAACAAGAAGTGTCATTTGCTTTTTGTTTAGAAGGTCGTGTTTGGGCCTCTTGTTACTACCCAGACAGCAGGTCCCCATCTTCTTTCACACCTGTCGGCCTTGCTGCTTTATACAATCTGTTCTTTAAGGTTCAAGTTTTTTCAAATTGAAAATATCATAAATCCTCATTTTTTTTCAAGTTGTCCAAGTTATTTTAAAATACTTTTGTCTAGAAATTTGAATTAATAAATTAGTCTTTTTTAAGACTGGGAGCACAAATTTTCTTCTAAGTGCTTATTCTAAAGGTGGTTGTAGTCCGATAGTTCAAAGCCCTATCAGACCCACTTCTCCTAACATATCAGCTATTTTGTAACACCCTCTACTCTATGCTGAAGTAAAATTGATAGACAATGTAATCTACCTACCTATTTCGCTGAAAAGTGGACACCATAGTTATTTCTAAGTGGTAGAATCAAAACACTTCTGTTGTTAAATGGGTTGGTGAATAGAGGAAAAACCGACTGTTTCTCTGTGTACTCACACCACTCTCAGTACTTCACTTCTAATACCAGACGTGTGGGGCTTTTCCCTACACAGACCAGCTCTCTGACACCAGCTGGGTGTCCTCTAGTCCAGTTCAGTTCAGTTCTCACACTAACTTGAGTTCCTGCGGACCCCACAGGTGAGGGGCTCGGTCCCACAAGACGGCCTTTCAGTTCACACACAGGCTGCAGGTTGTAGGTCCCCGGCTTACCACAGCTTCTTTCTGACTCGGCTTTAAATCAGAGATTCTCATGACCTTGTTCTGGGTTTGATCATTTGCTAGAGTGGCTCACAGAACCCAAGCAAACAGTTTACTTGCTGTTGCTGATTTACTACAAAGGATATTTTAAAGGATACAGCTGAGCACCCAGATGAAGCGATACACAGAGCAAGGTCTAGAAGGATCCTGAATGCAGGAGCCTCTGTCTGCATAGAGTTGGGTGTGCCACCCTCCCAGCACGCTGATACATTCACCAACCTGGAAGCGCTCCAACCCTCATAGTTGAGGGGTTTTTACAGAACCTTCATCACGTAGGCACAGCAGGTCTCCAGCCTCTCTCTGCCCTTCCCAGAAGCTGGGGGTGGGAACTGCAAGCTCCAAGCTTCCACTCATGGCTTGGTCATTCTGGTGACTGGCCCCCATCCCGGAGCCCACCAAGAACAAGTCCACCTCGTTAGAATAAAAGATGCTCCTATCACCCAGGGAATCCCAAGGAATTAGGAGCTTTGTGTCCAGAACCAGGTCAAAGACCAAATACAGAATAAAAGATACACATAGCACCCCTGTCACTCAGATTACTCCAAGGGTCTTAGGAGCTCTATGCCAGGCACTGGGGACAAAGACCAAATATATGTGTTTTCTTATGTCACAGATGGAATAGTGACAGAGTTTCACAGAAATCCTATCTTCTCTCTTGAACTCACCACGTCATCAAGCTTCTGTTCAGTGTCCTGTTCTGTTGACTTAGGAGACAGACAGAGACAGCTGGTCTAGGTCGATGAGGCAGGATCTTACTGAGTCTCAGATGTGTGAGTGATCACTGAAAAGAAGTGGAAAAACATCTTTAAGTAGGATGCAGTGTTGAAAAGCAAGAGCCCATGCTAAGGAGCCCACGGACGGGCCCCACGTAGGACAGTTGACCAAGCATCCGGTTGCTGGAAAGCACCTCCCGGGCCACCGTAAGAAGCAGCAGGAGGCAGACAGAGCATGTAGGGCTTTGGGCCACTCCTCATCCTCTTCTTCAGCCACACAGCTCTGCTTTTGTTTTTTATGAATTGAGGTTCTACTTAAGATGTAACTTGAACAGATACTCTGTTGCTTCAAAGGAAAAAGAAAATAACAAACCTCTCACCTACAGAATGAGCCTTCCTGACTCCATTAATTGTAGGTACATAATGTTTTTCTTTCACCCCAGAAAATACTGATGCATTTTTTCATATTAAAATAACATGGCACAGTAAGCCCAGTTCAGAGCCACAACAGAAAATTTATAATGTCTAAGGAAGATACAGTGGAATCTACATGAAAAAAATTCAGTAAGTTTGCTGAGTAGTATAAAAGTAGAACAGAATGGGAAGCCTGAATGTTCTAAGATGATCTGTTTATAAAATTACATTCTAATTTCCAATGGAATTACTTTTGGGAGCTTAAGCAAATGATTCTAACATTCAACTGAAAAATTGACCAAACAGGTGAGAATAGTTAAGAAACTTGAGAAAAAAATAACTGTTAAAACTACTGAAACTCAATAAAATCAGCAGTTGACTTCTCATCAGAAAACATGGAGGCCAGAAGAGAGTGGGATGAAATAGACTTTCAACCAAAAATTCTGTATCTAGTAGGCCCTTCTTCAAAAAATAAAGGAGAAATTAAGACATTGCCAGATAAACAAAATGAGAATTTGTCATTAGCATACCTGCCCCCCCCAAAAATAAGGGAGTTTCTGAAACGATACTAGACCTAAACTTGCATCCACAAGAAGAAATAAAGAGCCCTGGTAAAGGTAACTACACAGGTATTATGAAAGACAATGTAGACAGTTTTGTTTATAAGTCTTTTCTTCTGTTTTAAAAGACAGCTGCCTAAAGCAATAATTACAAAACTGTGTCGATGGGCTTATATAGAGATGTAATTTGTATGATGAGAATAGCACAAAGGAGTGAGGAGAGAATTAAGGTATACTGGAGCAACTACTGACGACCACCATTGAAATTGACTATATGAATCCAAAATAGTTTTTTGTTTGTTTTTTCTTGAGACAGAGTCTTGCTCTGTTGCCCAGGCTAGAGTGCAGTGGCGTCATCAGAGCTCACTGCAGCCTCCAACTACTGGGCTCAAGTGATTGTTCTGCCGCAGCCTCCCGAGTAGCTGGGACTACAGGCGTGCACCACCACGTCTGGCTAATTTTTTTATTTTTTGTAGAGACGGGGTCTCGCTTTTGCCAGGCTGGTCTCAAACTCCAAGTAATCCCTCCACCTCAGCCTCCCAAAGTGTTAGGATTACAGGCATGAGCCACTGCACCTGGCCCAAAATAGACCATTTTAAGTTAAGATGCTAATTATATTCCCCAGGGTAACCACTAAGAGAATAAATTTTTTAAATATAGTAAAAAAAACAAGGGAATACAATAGAAAATATCTGTTGAACACAAAAGAAGTCAGCAATGGAGGAATAAAACAACATAGTTGTAAGACATTAAAAAAAGAAATAGCAAAAATGACAGACATAAACCCTACCTTATAGATAACTTATAATCCACTGTAAGTGGATTAAACACCCCAGTCAAAAGACAGAAGAATGGATAAGAAAATAATCCAACTATATGCTGTCTACAAGAGACACACTTTAGATGGTCTCTAGTGTTTAGATTGCATAGTGACTATACCAATATTAAAAAAATAGACTTTAAGATAAAAACTGTTACTAAAACAAAGACGGAGATTTTATGATGATAAGAGGGCCTATTTACGAGAAGGATATAATGATTGTATACATCTATGCCTCTAACAACAGAGGCCTGAAATACATAAAGCAAAACCTGACAGGATTTATAGGAGAAAGACAATTTAACAGGAACAGTTGGAGACTTACCCCATTTCCAATAATGGATAGAACAACAAGTCACAAGACTGTCAAGGAAATGGAAGATTTGAGCAATACTATAAACCAATGACACCCATCATAGCAGAGCTTTGTAGAACACTCCACCCAGCAGCACACTGTTCTCAAGGGCATATGGAACATTCTCGAGGATAGACCAGATGTTAGACCATAAAATAAGTCTCAATAAATTAAAAAGGATTAAAAGTCATACAAAATATGTTCTGCAACCAATGGGATGAAATTAAAAGCCAACAACAGAAGGATATTTGAGAAATTCACAAATATGTAAAAATTAACCAACATCCTAAATAACCAACGAGTCAAAAAAGAAATCACCAGGGAAATTAGGAAATACTAAACGAAAACACAACGTACCGAAAGTTATGGAATGCTGCTAACGCAGTGCTGAGAGGGACATTTGTAGTTGTAATGATTACACTGAAAAGAAGCTAAATCTCAAATTAATAACCTAACCTTCACTTTAAAAATCTAGAAAAAGCACCAGTCTACGCCTAGTGCACAGTTGTCAGGGCATCTCTGTTCATTTTTCTCCTGCGTTGAATCTTCTATGTTCTGTATCTTATGTCTTCTTTTTTCTTGGTTTATTCTCTTGTTTTAGGAGAATGCAACCTTCAGTAGCTTCCTGAGAAAGGAGTAAGTGAAAGGTAAATTTTTTTGAGATCTTGAAAGTCTAAACATACATTTATTCTAATCTTACATGTGATTGATAGTTTATTAATCAAGTATAGGATTCTAGTTTTAAATAAATTTCCTTTGCTCTACATACTTGCTAGTAAAAAAATAAATAGATAAATTTCCAAAAAAGAAAAAAAAAAAGCAGCAGCAGCAGCAGCATCTACATACTTGCTAGTAAAAAAATAAATAGATAAATTTCCAAAAAAGAAAAAAAAAAGAAGCAGCAGCAGCAGCAGCTAGAAAAAGAAGAGCAAACTAAACCCAAAGCAAACAGAAAGAAAAAAATAATAAACATTAGAGTGGAAATAGGTAAAATAGAGGAAAGAAAACAATAGAGAAAAATCAGTGAAACCATAGTTGGTTCTTTGAAAGATCAACAAAATTGGCAAACCTTTAGCTAGACTCACCAAGAAAAAAATAGAAGATGGAAATAACTAAATCAGATATGAATGTGGGGATAATGGAATGTTTGCATAACTCTGAATACACCAAAATCCCCTGAACTGTATACTTTAAATGGGTAAATTTTATGGTATGTGAAATATATCTCAATAAAGCAATTTAAAAAAGGGAAAAAGGCAAGAGGGAAATTTGAATGTTTATAAAACTTAAA